GCTATTACAAGGCTGGATTAATCAGCTGGTTGTCACTCATAGCTCATAAAAAAGCCCAACCATGACCTGTCACTCCTGTTGGAGCCCACAAGAAGGGGGAGAGGAACCTCTGTCCCTCAGTAGGACTGCTGGTCCGGTGCCTTGTGTCAGCCACAGGCCCGAGAGGAGCTTAGAGGAAAAGGTGCATTGTGAAGTTCCTCTCTCAGATGGTGCTGTATGTGGGCTCTTTAATTTCTTTCTCAAGCCTGCTGTAGACTACACGCTTAGATACTGTGTGCCAGCTCCCCCAGATGCACTGGGCCACAAGGATTGGTGATATTGTCACAGCTCTGAGGAGTATCCCCCAAACTGTGTGTGTAGGGGCAGTGAAGTGGGCTGGGAGACAAGGGCTTGCATTCACCAGGTACACAATGGAGGGGCATTCAGGGTGGAAGGGACAGGCTTGCTGGGCAGGGAGCCGGGGAGCAGCCAGGGCATTCAGGGCATGGAGCAGAGTGGGGAGGGGAGGCTGAAAGGGCAGAGCTTTTGTGAAGGACCCTAGAGCCTGGGAGTGGCCTAGAGATCTGGGGGACGCTGAGGGAGGACACTTAAGTTCCACAGGATGCAGTCAGATGTGTAGACAAGAAAGATTTCAGAGGGCCGGGGATTTAGCTCAGTGGTTTCACTGCCTCCTGGGCAAGCACAAGGACCCGAGTTTGATCCCCGGTACCAAAATAGAAAGAAAGAAAGAAAGATTTCTGAAAGGGCAGAGAGAATCGAGGGGAAACGAATGAGGAGGCTCCTGACACTTCCTCATATGAGGTGAGACGATTTAGAATAACCCTGGAGGCTGCACGGGGCAGGGGAGAGAAGAGGGAAGTGAGGCGGTCACTTTCTACCCAGGGCTGTACTCACTGCTCGGGCTGCTGAAGCCTAGGACTGAGCTGCAGTAAGTCCATGCCGGGATGCGTACATTATCAATGCTTGCATCTGAGACTCAATGGTCCCTTCTTTCTTTTTTTCTCCCCCCTCCCCCATGGTACAGGTACTGAGAAGAGGACAGGTTTCTTTTCTCTTCTCTTTTTTTGGCAGTACTGGGGATCAAACTCAGGACCTTGTGCTTGCAAGGCAGGCAAGCGGCACCACTGAGCTAAATCCCCAGCCCTTAGATTTCGTTTCAACTGCCCAGCACACCCAGGCAGGGTCCTCTCAGGCACCAGTTGTCCAGCTCCTACCACACAGACCCTCTGAGTCACCTATCTGGCAACTATTTCCGCTATGGGAAGTGGAGGCAGCTGGGAGTCTTGCATTTTAAAAAAGTAACTGTTGGTCAGGGGTTTAGCTCAGTGGTTCTGCTGCCTGCCTTGCAAGCAGAAGGACCCGAGTTCGATCCCCAGTACCAAAAAAAACCCAAAAAAACCTGTAACTGTCTTAGGGGTCCAGAGAGGCCGGTTTGGCTGACCTGAGGTACCAATCTTCTCTCAGTGAGCCATCCACTCGCTTAGTCCACATGCAGCCCTTGTTGAGGGCTGGTTCTGTGCCAGGCACCAGCCAGGTGCTGAGCAGCAAGGGGAGTGAGATCGGGTTCCCTCTCGGAGCAGCTGAGGAGCTCTTGTGGAGCGATGTACTACAGCACGGGGCTCTGCAGGGGGCGCTGCAGGGTGAACAATTCAAGGATCCTGTCGCGGCAAGGAGTAAGGACTGCAGAGGCTGCCGCGATTTCCTTTCCAGATGAAAAGGAGGTGAGCACGGGCGCCTGGGCTGAGTGTGTGGGGGGGGGGGGGGGTGGGGGAGGTGAGCACGGGCGCCTGGGCTGAGTGTGTGTGGGGGGGGGGTTGTGCTCATGAACAGGTGTGTATGAGGGGTGTGAGTGTGTATGTGAATTTGTAAAATTATGAGGCATAGGTATAATAGTTGAAGTGTAAGGTGTGTGTGTGTGTGCACGTGAATGGTCATGTCTGTGTAGACACGTCAGTGTGTGTCTGAGTTAGAGTGAGGAGTACATGCTGGTGTAGATAATTGCATGTGCGTGTGTGTGTGTGTGTGTGTGTGTGTGTGTGTGTGTGTCCATGGGTGTGGGTGGGCCAGCCCAAGTGCTGGGTGCTGTGCAGGAAGCTGGGATGTTGGAGTCACCTCGGCAGAGCTTGCATGTGCAAGAGGTTGCTGGCCTCAGCTGGGGGTGGCAGTTCCTGGTGTCTGCCTCACAGTCAGGAGAAAAGCTCTATGTGCGGCCTCTCCGAGACAGGCACACGGTGGCCTCAGAGCACAGATGAGCTAGGATGCCTGGGAAAACAGCCCATGGCCTGAAACGTTCAAACAGAGAGGCTGATACCACACAAGAGAACACAAACCCTGCATGGAATTAACCCAGGACGCTGACGCCATTTTGCAGGTGGCTCCCCCCTTTCCCAGGGGCCAGTTCTCCCTCCTTTGTGGCTGGCTGCACTGTGGATGGGAGGGATGAGGGCTGAGAGGCACCGCCAGAACTAACGCATCACGCTGAGGTTGACTGCCCCATTGCCAGCTCCCCCCAGGCCCTCCTGCTGCTGGCGTCTTGGTCCCTCTCCTGTCCTCCAGGCCCACTTCTAACAGTGGACTCCTCCAGGAAACTCAGTGCTCAGGGACTCTCATTTCCTGTCTCACTCATCCACCTTTTCCACGGCATTGTGAGTTGACTGTGACCCTCCAATCAGTACGTTGAAGGTGTAACCTGGTACCTGTGCATATGACTTCACTTGGAAGTGGGGTCCTTGCAGATTCCATCAATTTAAAATGAGGTCATATTGGATTAGGGTGGGCCTCGATCCAACAGCTGATGTCCTTATAAGAGGAGGAAAATTAAGACACACGTGAAGACGGAGGATTACCAGGAAGAGGCACGGGGGATCCACCTTCCCTGGCCCTCCCCCCACCCAGAGCACGGCCCTGATTATAGGCCACGTGGGGTGTGAATGGACAGCTGAGCCCCTATGTTCTCCTTTCTGCAGAGCTCAGACGGCAGTGATGGAGTGTGCGAACACCAATTTGGACCAGACTTTCATTCCTCCCACTTATTATCTGTGCCCCATCTTAGATGGTCAGGGCCTTGGTTCACAGTTTCTGCTACAAAGTGGGATTGGGAAAGTGTACCAACTGTACCCCACCTGTTGAGCAGAACTCAGGGGCCCAATGCAAGTGAAAGAGACTGTTAGAAAAACATCTGGAGGAAATGAAGTGCCCGAGGGCACGGACTAGTCTACTCTCTCCTGGGACTCTCTGATTGCCCTGCAGGTGCACCTTGCTCCGGAGAAGACCTGGAAGGCTTGGCCTGCATGTGGCAGCAGGTCTGCAATGCCTTCTGGCTTCCTTCTCACCTAGATGGAGCCCAGTGAGTCCACCTACTTCACTGTCCTCAGAGGAAGAACTCAGAAGACCCATGCTACCACGTACAAGTCTGATCACACTGCTCCTGCACTTAACACCTGAATGTGCTTCTAATCTGCTGTACGAATGAAGTGCAGACTCCTTAGCAAGGTGTGAGGTAAGGCTCTCCTTGATCTGCTACCCTGCATTTGCAGCCCCACTTCCCTGAGTTCTCCCCCTGCATTCTCTGCCAGTCGGGGTCCCCCCAGTAAGCCAACCCCTTCCTCTCAGTGGCCTTGAGAACACCTCTACCTCTCCACAAAACAACCAAATTAAGAATGCAGCTGCTTACCTAACAGAAAAAATCATTTTATGCCTAAGAGGTAGCTCTTAGCTTCGTAACAAGTGAGGCCTCATTTTGCCCATTTTACAGATAGGGTAACAGACTCGAGAGAGGCCAGTTAGTCCATGAGAGTCACAATGAGCACTTGTTCTTGCTTCAAAGCCTGTGATCAGTATCAGCCTGGCTGGCCTCTCCTTTCAAAGAGCAGCTTGAGATGTTTCACTCAAAGCCCTGCTCCGTCCGCTCAGTTCATCTCAGCTCGCTCAGCCACCCTGGGTGGCACCTTGGTTGCACCAGCAAAGGCAGACACTGAGCACAGAGTAACTGCAGACTTGGTCCAGCTGTCTCCCCCTCAGGACTGCAACTCCTGGGAGACAGGAATCCTAAATCTAGCACCATGCCAAGCACATAGTAGATACTAACTTTACACCATTGTTTGGAAAAGCCAATGGAGTGAAAAAGTCACAAGGGAACAAATTTATTTGATGCTCTTCTCACACCAGCGAGCCCTTCCCAACCTTGCCTGGCTGATCCTCACCTTCCTGCCTTGGGAAACAGTCTCTGTCCTTCCAGGCTGGACTTCTGACTCCTCACTAACACCGAAGCCCCGTGCACCAGATTTTGTCTCTCCCGGTGCTGGTTCACCCGAGGCAATGCGGTGCTGTGCTCATGAGTTTTGGAATCAGACCTGGTTTAGTCACTTACCAGCTGGGACCCTGGACAAGTTATATAACTTCTTTAACCCCCAGTTTTCTCATCTGCAAAATAGGAGGGCACCAGAGTTAATCAGAGGGGCAAAGCAGGTGCCTTACCACCTTGTGAAATAGCATCACCATCGCTGTTGTTTGATAGACTGGAAAATGAACACAAGAAAGGTGAGGGACCTTCCCGTAGTGTGTGTGGCCATGCATGGGTGCGTGTGTGTGGATGCGTGCATGGTGGGAGAGTCAGGCAAGCAGCCTTGGATCCTGTGTTGCCTCCATGGTGCCACCTGGTACAAACCTCAAAGTTTAACACTGGCATTTGCTATTTCCCTCACCCCTCAGCCAGGTACCCCAAGTTTTCCCACATGAACTTCCTCAGCAGACACCAGCTCCAGCCCTGAGTTGCCCTCTTGGGTCCCAGTGGCTAATTCAACCTTTTCATTAATTGTTTAGCACAGTATTTGGACTGCACACAGGGTCTTGGCACTGAGCTACATCTCCAGCCTGGCCCTCCTTTTTGTGAGACAAGGTCTTGCTAGGTTGCTTGAACTTGCAGTTCTTCTGCCTCAGCCTCCTAGAGTGCTAGGGTTATGGGCATGTCAACAAACCTGGATTAAACCAACCTTTCAGAGTTGGCTGTATCCATAAGGTTCCAGCTATTTTAAAATACTTCAGTTCCATCCACGGTTACAGGGCCATTTTGTGCACTTGGAGACATGCCCCCATAAGGCTTGGCCTCCTCCGGCAAAGGGTGAAGGTACCACTCTTTTTAAACAGCTTTCTTGGGTAGGGGGCTGAGAGGGCTAGGGGGTGGGGCAGAAATGGAAGGGGAACAGGGGTGACTGTACCCCGGACAGCCTCTGTGGCAGCTTCCTCCAGGGTGCGGTCCCCTCGGTTATAACACCCACAGCTCCTCCAGCTCCTTTTTGTAACAGTTCAGAGGAAATAGAGGAGGTAAAAACAATGCCGGCAGCCTGTCTGCAGTCCGCTCACTAGGGGGTACCAGTGGCCACAGCGAGTCTGCTCACTCTGATGCAAAGGAAATGTGGGGCCAGCAGGTGCCGGCATCCCCTGGGACCCAAGGAAGGAAAAAGTCCACGTCCCAGGAAAAAAGGAGAATAAAAGTCCCTACTCCTTCAAGAATCAGGTTCCACTAAACCTTGAGAACGCAGCTGAGGTTGACCCCTTGTTCAGGAGGCTCTCTCTGACCCCTCAGATTCAGACAGGCGATCCTCTGTTCTGTCTCCTCGGGAGATAACTATACTACCACAGGCTGGCGCTGCCGGGCTCCGCCACAGCCCTCAGGGCAGACATTGTGCAAATCTTTGCATTTCCCAGTGCTAGAATGGTTTCGGTTTGGGGGCTGGGGATGGAGTCCAGGGCCTCACGCAGGCGAGGCAAGTGCTCTACCACTGAGCTTCACCCCAAGCTGAGCTGGGCACAGCTTTTTAAAAATAACTGGGAGTCACAAAGATGCCGTTAAGAGCTAAAGGAGGCACATTCTTGAAGGGTTTTTTTTTTTCCGCCTTTTAAAAAAGTCAGTGAGCAGCTCCCTCTGTATGTTGGATAAGGAAAATGAGAGAGTTTTTGCTGAATAAAGTAAAGCCAGACAGGAGGAGGAGGAACCTGATCAAGAAGACTGAATGAGTACAACTTTGCCAAACACAGACATGGAATCTTGGTACAAAGACAAGGAAAATCTGCTGTTTTTCTGAGTGGGACAGATGGAACTCTTCAATGGGAACAGCCAAGACAGGCACTTAGGGCTCTATTTAAATAGCCTGAAAACACCAGAGGGATCGGCTTATGGGGTCCTCTCTATCCATCAGGGCACCTCTCCACCCAACTCCTGTAGCAGGCAGCAGAGAAGATAGGAATGTAGAGTTTAATTATTGTGCTGCTGTTATTAACCAGAGTGCAATTAATCCATCGTGTGTGGATTCTGATGCCACAGTGTAAAGGAGGTTTCACAGGTGCACCCTGGGGGCCGTTGGGAACAAAAGGGCAGGGCCTCTGGTGGGAAGGGGGTGGCAAAACGGGGGATGTGGGGAGCAGACACGGGGCTGAGTCTGCTCCTTCCCCATCAACAACGCCAGCAAGAACCCCAAGAGGAAGGTCTTTCCTGCCGAGGCTGCTGGCCTGGCCTGGCCGGGTGAGTCCCGGTCTTCCTTCCCCATGCAGCTGCCTCTGGCTTCCTGTTCCGATTCGTGCTTAGCACGTGAGGTCCAGGGCAGGCTCACAGTTGACCATCGGATGGGTGAGGAATGCAGTCCAAAGGAGAAACAAGGAGTTCAGGACACCTCCTCTCCATCCTTCTCCATTTTTAATCCCAAGAGACCTTCAGTCTAGTTCAGAGCTGGGTAAAGGACAACAGTGGCTCCTCCTCTGGGAGCTGGCAGCTTGGAAAGCAGCCCAAACCGCTTTGCCGAGATGGTTCCTCGTGTCAGAGTGGAGTGATACAGTTCAGATCCAAGGTGCAGGCCCCGGACGGCTAAGAGTCGGAGACACACAGAGCCTCCACAGCATCGCTCAGACCCTGGTTGACGCCCCCCACGGCCAGGAGGCAGTTCTTAATGACAATGCTGGAGCAGGCACAGCGGGGCGTGGGCATGGCCGGGAGGACCTCCCACTTGTTCTTCCCCGGATGGAAGGCTTCGGCCGTTTCCAGGACTGTAGGTTGGTTCCCTGAGAGCACCGAGAGAATCAGACCTCACAGAAGGGCCCAGCTACCAAGCCCTGCCTCCCTCCCTTGGGCGGCATAAGCAGACACTGAGCAACTGCAACATCCTCAGCTCAGGTGCAACCCCTGCCTCTCCCCTCTCCTGGGCCAATGGCTCTTGTCAAGCAGCCAGTTTCCCCCTCCTCCCTTCTCCCTGTCTTCTCATCTCCCTAAGAGCAAGCATTCATGCCTCACCCCTGGTTTTGATCAGAAATTTTTAGTGTCCTGCTGTACCCACCCTGTTTTTCACTACAAAAGCTATCCACGTGGTCTAGCTCCAGTGGTCTTTCACGCATGCGTAACATGGGAATATGTCCACACTTGGACATCAACTTGGGGTGCCTCAAGCCTTACTGCCCATATCTCTGCCCTGATGACACTGGGTTCCTCCTACAAAACACCAGCAATCTCTGAGAGAGGTAATACATCAAATCCCAAATTTAGAAGCATTTATTGCATTAGATGCATTCCTGTCCTAAGATAGAGGTGGGTATCTAAGGAAAAGAGACAGCTCTTAAGAGGATGACTTTGCATCCAGGGTCTGCATTTCCCCCCAGTCATTCTGCAGATTTGTGCTCAGCAGACCTGGGTTACACGGCTATCATTATGTGACTTATTCTTTCTGGACCTCAATTTCCTGAGTGCAAGAGGACAGAGAGACCCGATCCAGGCCCATAAGTGGATAGGCAGAGTCCAGGCTATGAGGAAGAGAGGGTTTTGAAGTACAGTATTTGGAATAAAGAAGTGGGCAGGTGATGTGCAAAATGCCAATATCCTCTGCTGCTCATGCAGAGTGCGAGGGATTCACCAAGCACCAGCTCGGACGTTCCATCCTTACCAAGGCCCCCAGCTACTATGACCCGTCCACTCAGAGAGCCGGCCACGAAGTCTGCCCGCCGCTTCTTGAGGAAAAATGAACGTTCCATCTTCAGCCATCCCCCTACAGGCCACAAAAAGGGTAAGAGGGAGAGAGAGAATTAGGGGCTGACCATCCCTATCAAACACAGACAAGCCCTAAATGGCTCTCACCCTGGACAGCGGCTCCTTCCTTTTACCTTTGTGCTCAGGGTGCACACAGTGCCCCTGTTGTTTGCAATGAGCTCCTCTGCAGCCTCCACCCTCTCCCATGCTTCCTGCAGTGTAAGACACCGTAGTTCCCACCATGAATGCCCTCCCTGGCTCTAAACTGCAGAGGAAGCTGATGCAGGCGGTGAGTGTGGGAGTGGGCATCCCTCTGTTTCTCCATCAGTAAAGGAAAAATCTCTCCCTGATCTAGTTCTGCACAGATATTATAAGAAAATAACCATGCAAGAGAGCCCTATACAGATGAAATAATTAGATCCTACGAGCAGCCTTGAGGGACAGGGGTGCTCGGACTTGGGAAAGGCTTGCCCAGCTGGGCAGGTGGGCCTGGCAACATGGATGGGATGGAGGGACGGTGGGGGTCAACCAGAAGGGAGGCGACCAGCTAGCACTTCCCTGAGGGAGCCCTGCAAACACGGCAGAGGCAGCCCCAAGCTCACCCTGTTCCATGTCAAACACGTCCATCGTCCGAAGGAACTTAGGCTGCCGGTAGAGCCGACCCTGCCGCAGACCTCCCAAGCTGTACAAGTGGTTGTCTAGGGTCACAAAGCTGGAGAAGGCTCGCTTACACGGGACGTTGGGAAACTTGGTCCAGGAGCGAGTCTCGATGTCAAAGACCTCGAAGGCATTGACTGCATACTTGGACTGGCGTCCCCCTGGAGGCCAAAGCAGGGTGGAGGTGAGCGGAAGAGGAGCCCCTGAGCGTAGGGGATGGATTTCCCCTTCTTCTGACTGTTACCCATTCACACAGGAAGCTCCCTGAGGGCTGGGCCAGTGTGACCACGCCCCATGCCAGGGAGATGCTCAGCTGAAGGCACTGCTTCCAAGGGGAAGCACCCCAAGGGAGGGAGGAGGGAGAGATGCACAACAGGTGACTCCACCTTACCCAGCACGTAGATCTTGGAGCCTCGGAGGAAGGAGGTGGCAGCATATCTCGGGGTTGGCATGGGTGCTAGTGACACCCACATGTCCTTGAGCATGTCATAGTGTTGGAGGTGGTTGTGTGGCCGGAGGTCCAGGCCCATCCCGCCTGCCGCGTATACTCGGTAATCTAAGAGAAAGGCCACATGTACTCCTGGCTCAGCGACAGGCACCAGGAGAACGGACCACCAGCACCCGTTACCTACTATGGCCAAGGCAAGTTTGATGGCACCATTCCAAGTCCTTGTGGCATGGCCTGAGTCTTCCTGCAGCTTTCCTTGGAATCCAGCCCTTGGCTAAGCCCAAAACACTAAGCCCTGCACCAAGGGAGACTGTGGTCTGGTCTAGGCCTGGACAACCCTCTGCCGCCTTGTCCCCTCTACTACCCTCCTTCCTGGGCAGCCAGAAGTAATCTTCTGACCGTGCTCTCCAGTACTGGCCTGTTCCCCAGGCATTCCCAGATGGAATTCTCTAGAAACAGCAGGGGCCTTTAGACACAAGGCCAGCCCCACTGTCCCTGGCTTTGTGGGACACTGGGCTACCTCTGGGTCTCTTTTCCCCATAGGGGAATCCCATCTTCCTGCATAGATCTGGCAGCTTTCGGACCCAGGAGGCCCCACACTGAATGAGGGGGAGGCTCCAGAGGAGAGCGACTTGGCCTCTTGTAGAAATCCTGCCCCTGGCTTCCTCCACTGCTCTTGGCTGTAGGAGGCCTTTCCAGGACCTCCAAAACACACTGCATGACAGGATGGACGAGCACCCTCCCCAGGCCCCTGTAGGCCCCTCTCAGGGAGCCGCCTCTGGCTGAACACTACTCCTTTTACTTTCCACTCTTACTGAAAATAAAATAAAAATCCAGCCCTAGCCTAAGGCTGGGAAATGGGTCCTGATAGTGAATGACTCACTTAACATAAGCTCCCTATCATCCTGTTACCTGCAACACCTCATCCCGGGGAGCTTCCCATCCACACTCTGATACCACCGTACCTCTCTGCTCAATTCCCACTCATCCTTTCAGGCTCACCTGAGTATCCCTGAACTGCGAGCCTGGGCTGAGTCTGCTGGCCGCATGCCACTGCAATCATCTTTGTCTGTTTCTCCCACTAGGTGGTAGGTCTTTGAGAATCTATTAATCTGTAGTTCCAGAATCTACGGCACCCAGGCATGTGAATATTTTTTAAATTAACCACTGAACCCATTCAGTGCCATAGTTAGGAACACAGACATGACTATCACTTCCTAGCTGTGTGACCTTGGGCCAGTGACTTGACCTTCTTGGGTTATAAGTTGCTTCACTCTAAAATGAGGGTTCAAATATTACTCACCTTATTGGACAGGCTGTGAGGATCAAAGGGGATAAGGCACCAGCGGTATAGGCTCAGTAAATGTGTAGTTCTTAACCTTTCAGGACTGTTCACTGAGGCCTGCCATGGAGGGGACTCTTCTCTTGCTCTGTTCCCCATGGACCTCCAGGCCTGCTTCCCACCTTCTTACTGGGGGGCCATGGAAACCCCCACTGGCTGCCTTATCCCAGGAGACTATGGGATAAAGCTTCTCTTTAGTAACCTTTATTGATCAGACACTGGCTTCTGAAGGCAGGGCCAGATCTGCCTCTTTTCCTCCCTCCTGGGGCCCAGGACTGCCAGGGCAGACCAGGTGTTAAAGACATACTGGTTTCTGATGTACCATGGGCCTGACAGGCAGCTGGGACAGTGTACAAGAGTGGAAGGCAAAGGGAGGCAGAGTCACAGTCCATGCAGCCCACAATGCCCACACACGTGTGTGAAGTTGGGGGTCTCCTAACTCCTGTGGGTCCATTCCCTATAAAACCTTTGCATTTGCAAAAGAGCCTCTGGACTCCCTTCCATGCGCTGGGCTGTACTGACAGCCCCCTCCCCCCCTGCATCCAGTGAATGGCTGAGGCAGGAGAATCATAAGTTTGAGCCCAGCCTGAGCAATTTAGTGACTTAGCAAGACCTGGTTTCAAAAAAATTCTAGAAGGCCTGGAAATGCAGCTCAGTGCAAAGGCCCTGGGTTCAATCCCCAGTACTAAAGAAAAAAAAAGAATGAAAGGAGGGGCTCTGAGAAAGTGGAATGGGAATCTGAGAACGGCACAGTAGCCCATGATGCCTTCCCTGGGAACTTGGTGAACGGGAACTAGGTCCTGTAGGAACACAACCCTCAGGACATCCTGGTCTCTGAGGCTGGGAGCGGGAGGAGAACAGCCGAGGGAAGAACGGCCTGCAGTCAGGCCTCCGCCCCGCCCCCATGGGGCCTGGTGATCGTGTGAGGGTGCAGCGAGCACCCCAGGACCCCAGCTAGTGTTTGGGGGTGATGCCGCCTGCATGCACATTTCAAAGACTAGGGTATGGCGGGGGTGCGGTCATTCAGGTGATGCTGGGGTCTGCACACACATGGCACCCATCCCTGCAGCCCACGCCCTGGCAGTGCCCTCTGGCAGCGACCTGCCCGGCTTATGGGAAGGAAAGCCCTGGAGTGGATTTCTGGTGTCAGGTGCAATTCCTAGCTACTTCATTTGCTGAGCCTCAGCTTCCCCATCTGTAAGATAAAAGTTTCTGGGATCAAACGGGATCAGGATGTCCTAGTGGGCCCTCCCAACAGTACCCCTACTGTTTCCTCACCCCCCTCCCTTTTCTCTGCTCACCCACATCCCCGGCCCCTCTTGCCTTTGGCCGTGACAGAAATGCCCATGGCGGCCTCCCGCAGCGTGCTCCTCTTCTTCCACTTGCCCTCGTCGATGTTGTACATCTCCACGACCTTCAGGGGCAGCTGACTGGTGCCCACGCCCCCGATCACCATAATGCGCTTCCCCAGGGCGGTGACGGCCACCCCGGCCCGGGCTGTGGGCAGCGGGGGCAGGGCGGTCCACTGGTCGGCCTCGGGGGCGTAGACCTCGAAGCAGTCCATGGGGACTCCGCTGTCATCACATCCCCCGATGGCATAGACCTGTCCCCCGGTCTCCAGCAGGGAGCAGTAGACGCGGCGGCTGGGCAGCGGCGCCAGGCGCTTCCATTGGAAGTCCTTGACATTAGGCACCTCCATGGCAGCCCGGCGACCCACCAGCACAGCACAGGCCAAGTTCGAGGCCGGGTCCGCGGGCTACTCCGCGCTGGCTCGCGGGTCCCCCGTCGCCGCCTCCATCTGGCTCCGGGGCGCCTGCTCCCGCCCGACGCCGGCCAGCGCCTCACTGTCCCTCAAGTCTCCGCGGTCCGGCGGCGTCCACGCCTGGCCCTGCGGGAGGAACCGGGCGGATCGAAGGCACCCGGGGCCACGAGTGCTCGCGTCTGAGGGGCGCAGCGCGGACCGCGGTCCCTCGTCAACTTTAAAGGGGTCGCGACTGCGGAGGGCGCCACCCCGCGGCGCCACCGGCCCCGCTCCGCTTGTCCCCACCCCCTTCCCGCCGGAAGCCGCCGAGCAGTGCGGTATCCGCTCGCAGAGGACACAGTGTACGCCCCGCTGCCGCCATCCGGGCGCCCGCATCCCCCGCTACGCACGGGGCCAGGCCGGAGCGCGCGGACCCCGGCCCCGGGCGCGGGCAGCAGGGCAGGGCGCTCCGTCCCTCCCCGTCCGCACGCCGCGGGCACACACGCAGAGAAGGAGAGCAAATGAGCAGCAGGAAGGAGAACCGAGCCGCCGGCCGGAGGAGGCGGGAGCCTCCCACGCAGCCTCCCCCGCGCCGCCGCACCTGTGCAGGAAGCGGCGAGACACGGAGGGCCCGCGCCGGGAGGGAAGGGCGGCGGCCGAGGCGCTCACCTCGTTTTCCAGCGCGGCCGGAGCCGGAGCCAGCCGGAGCCGAGGGCCCAGATGACGGGACCAGACTCCCCCCGCGTGGAGGCGGGCGCTTGTGAGCGTTTGTTTTGGATGAGGAGGCGGAGAGTCCAATTACCCAGTTTGTCTACAGTACACAGACCCGTTCCTGACAGCTGGCTTTGTTTTGGGGGAGGTACCATCCTACGGTTTAGCCTCACAGAAGCAAGTTTGCAGGGAGGGAGTGACCCGGCAGAGCTGGCGGGTGCCTCCGAAGATAACCCAGATAACCCTCGTGTGCATAACTTCCACACCGCCTCCCTCCCGCAAACAGACACATCGGAACAAGCGACAGGCTCACAAGAACATGGACACACAGCCGGATGTCAACCCCTCCTTCACACACCACATGAAGTGGACGCCTGATGACCAGATCTTGGGCCTCGGCGCCAACCACTTTCCAAAAATCCTTTTTAGGACTGCGGTCCTCAGTACCTCAGTAACGAAGGTGCCTGAGACACAGTGGGGCACCTGTCTGGTAGGCTGCAAGGCCCCTGGGGTCCTCTGACTACCCGGTTTCCTTCAGGATGGCTGCATCTTGAAACCGCCTGGCTCCGGAGCCTGCAGACCTGGGTTTGAATCCTGGCTCTGAAAAGTATTCATTCCAGACCTCAGTTTCCTTACATATATTTTCACCGAGAATTTTCATTTTGACATGAATTGTAGATTCATATGTGGTTGTAAGGAAGAAATACCCTTTCCCCAGCTTCCCCCAGTGGTAACAACTTACAAAACTATAGTACAATATCACAACCTTGGATTGGAATTGACCAGTCAAGATCCACAACATTTCCATCACCAGAAAGATCAGTCGGGACCATTTTATACCCAGCCTGCTTCTCACTTCCCTTTTCCCCCACACCCCATGGCAACCAGTAATCTTTTCTCTGCTTCCATAATCTCATCACTTCAAGAATGCTAGACAAGGGCCAGGGATTTAGCTTAGTGGTGCCACTACCTGCCTCGCAAGTGCAAGGTACTGAGTTTGATCCCCGGTAACAGCAAAAAAAAAAAGAATGCTAGACAAACAGAAACACACAATATGTAACCTACTGGGATCACCCCCTCCCGCCACATCACTCCCTGCACTTTGATCCAAGTTGTTGTGTATAGCAGTAGTTCATCTTTTATTTCTTGGTATAGATGTATCCTTGTAGGCTTTTGTGAAGATTAAATGAGATAATATTTAATCAAGAATTCACTGTGGCAAGGGCCTAGTACAGTGATGGCGAACCTTTTAGAGACTGAGTGTCCAAACTGCAACCCAAAACACACCTATTTGTGGCAAAGTGCCTACACTGCAATTAAACCTGAATACTGAGGTGATAGTTTAGAAAGAAAAACAACTGTTATCCCGTGCTCAGCTGTCGGGGCGACTTGGCTCATGTGCTGAAGGGTTTGCATGCCCGGTGCTGCATGAGTGCCATGCGTTCGCCATCACAGGGTGGCCCTAACACATCTCTATTAATACCATTACTGCTACTATAACTTCTTGGGAGAAACAAGTCTCAGCTCACAATAGGCGCATCTTAATATAGTTATAGTAGACTTGTTAAGCTCTTGGCTTAACAATTCCCACTGCTTTGTAGTTTAACTTCTAGTACTTGCAAAATAATCACCCCTAAAACTACCATAGAAAGGGTGAAAGCCATAGACCATCCTCAGAGGGATTTGTTGAGAGTCTGGCTTCAGTCCTGCTTGCCCACTGAGCCTGCCACTGAAGCAGTAATGCTGGCCTCTGGCACCTCCTCAGCTGGGGCAGCTTAACAAGCAGGTTTACAGACTGCCACAGCACCCTGTGTTTGTGTCAGCCAGTGGAATAATGAAGTGAGCTAAGCCCTTGCACGCTCACTTTCTGATAGACCCCCGCCCTCAGCCCTGGGAATTAAACTCAGGGACCACTGAGCTACATCCCCAGCCCTACTTTTTATTTGATTTATAGATGGGGTGTTGCTAAATTACCCAGGCTGGTCTTGAAATTCTGAACCTCCTGCCTCAGCCTCCTGAGGATCTGGGATTTACAGACATGTGCCAGACAAATGCTGGCCACTTTCTCCTAATCTTTTTTTTTGTACCAGGGATCGAACTCGGGACCTTGCGCTTTTGAGGCAGGCAGTGGCACCATTGAGCTAAAACCCCACCCTGACTTTCTCCTAACCTTAACACGACCCCAGGAGAGGTCTCTGGGGCAGGCATCAGTGTCTGTGATCTGCAGAGGAGGAACCTGAGACTCAATGAAGTGACTTGCAGCCATGCAAGCCACTCAGAGTGCATCTAGGTTGAGAATTCCAAATCTAACGCTGCCCATCTTTATCACAATCAAATCACAAAGGAAAGAATGGAACATTGTCAATAAACCATGCTTTTCCACTCTCATCTAGACTTTGGCCTTTTGTCCAAGTGCAGTGAAGGGAGGAGCCCAGACCCCCACAGGGATTGCAGCATCTGCCCATGCTGTCCGTGCCAGGTTGTACACCTAGGGAAACTCAAGTCCAGCCCCTGAAAAGGCCCCTGCCCTAGCCTCGGCTTATGCTGGGTACCACTCTTCATGCAGGCCATGGAGTTCAAAGACTCAGGGCTTTGGAAAAGTACTAAGAACAGGGTGTCTTCCAGGCCATGGCCTAATTGCTTATTCTGGAAGTCCTGGCTTTTCTCCATCTTCCCCACTCCTTCCCCATGTCGCTTCCTCCCAGGCAGGTGACATCCTTTAGTCCCTACATCGAGTGCACATTAAAGAAGCTTGTAACCTAGCAACCACCACTTAAGATTCCCTGAGTCACCTGCAGTTTCCATGCCTGGGCTGAGTGCACCAAGCTGCGGCCTTGAGGAGAGCCAGGCTGAAGAGGGGTCTCCTGACTCTTTGGACCCCTCACCACCCCATCTCAGTGTGTAACCACTTTCCAAGTCAGGAAGTTCTTCCTCACATCAAACCTAAATCCTTCCTGCTGCAAGATCTTGCATAGCACTGGGCCTTGCTTTCTGGTCTTTCTTAAACATGTTGGACAAGGCTGAGAGTGTAGCTCAGTGGTAGACTGTGCGCTTAGCATGTGTGAGGCCCTGGATTTGATCCCCAGCACCAAAACAAAAAACTTAGGTGACTGTTTGCTTTCAGAAGAGTAGGTGGAGGCTCTGGAGGACAGGAAGGTCACGAAAGCCACTGAAGAGGAGGCCTTTGGTACTTTGGAATTTTAATATTTATTACTATTCATTATCCACAATCAAACTTGTGCATGCACAGCCCCAGAAAAAGTCATTCATCTTTGAAAAAATTCACACCATGAATTTAAGGTCTAACTTCCATACAATCAAATGCAGAAAACTTTACTCAGTAGCTATTGAGGATCTGTTAGGTATTCACCAGGTTCCCTTCCTGAACTCTGAGGCAGGTTATGGGAGAGCTGAGTGTCCACCAGGGGGAGGACAGTTTAGGAAACCAGGCAGTGTGGCCAGCGACAGGTGGAGCATCTGCAGGTGGCTTTGGAGGGACAGGTAGATTCCAAGAGGAGAGCACTTTTATTTTCCTTATTTATTGCAATACCAGGCATTGAACCCCGGGCCTTCACAATGATCTCCATCCTCCGACCTTTATAAAATTTTTTAAATTTTGAGACAGGGCCTCACTAAGTTGCTAAGTTTTCTGGGCTGGGTTCAAACTTGTGATCCTCCTGCCTCAGCCTCTCAGAGTGCTGAGATTTCCAATGTGCACCGCCACGCCCAGCTGAATAGGGCACATTCTGAAGGGATGGGGAAAGAGGAGTCGTTGAGCTATTAGTTGTCACAGAATCTCCTTCTCCACCCCCAGAAATACGTGCTGCCTGTGGGAACCTCCTAAGTGTCCCCTTCCTGGTACCACACTGGCTGGAAGGGCCTCTGGGAGCGTCCAGCCCAGATGGTCTTCGCTATGCAGGTGCCTTTCTGCAGAGCCCTACAGATCAGAAGGCAGTGGGGGCTTGAGTGGACTCCAGTCAGGCGGACTGAGTCTGAACCCCGACTCGGCCCACACCCTCTGTGCCCATCTTGTCTAAGTCTGTCTTGGGCAGATCTCTTTCCTCCTGGCTGACTGAGATCACTTCTGCTGCAGAACAGCTGGTGCCCGTGCACTGGACCATCAGTTCCCCGCCCATTCCTAACCAGAAGCCTGGCCTGTGTGCAGGTGGGAGAGAGGGCGACTCAGCCACTGAGGACTGAGGCAGGCTGCAGGCCGACCAGGGAAAGGGAGGCTCCTTCCGGAGCCCGAAGGAGTCTTCTGCGGGCGTTCTTGCACCCAGCCCGACA